ATACACAAACGTGGCAGACGAATAAAATGACAAGCCACTGTTTAAGCAGACAAGGCCTACAGTCGCTTCAGGTCGAGCCGAGGCTAGGCGGCCCACCCCCTCTTCGCATCGGGCCTGGGGTGGCAAGCGCCGCGGCAGTCGGTGACTGGTTGAACTCGTAGTCCGCTCATCTGACCAATCAGAAGGCGAGCTCGTAACGCCAACCATCCAGGCCCCGTTTTGTCTTTCCACTCTCTCCCTCTTGTTGGCTCTCTCTTTTGCTTTTGCTTTCGCTTTCAAAATATAGCTTTCACGCTCTCGCTCTCTGTCGCGCTTTTGCTTCTGTTCTATCTATCTATCTATTTCTTTCTCGTCTGCAGTCAGACTGCAGTGTCCATCGCGTATTGCGACGTCGTCGCCAGGCCGACGGGGTATCGATTGATTACGGTCTCCGGTCCAAGCGGCCAGGCGCGCGACAATTGGCTCTCTGCGCCAGGACGTGTGGAGAGGGCGGCAGACCGAGTCAACTCCGGCTAGGCCTGGTCTGGTCTGGCCCACATGGCGACGCGCCTAGCAACCTGTCGGCTGTTTGGTAAGTCAATTAGCCACTCTGCCGGTCATTCTGCATGTCTGCTTTCGGGCAGTCTGTACGCCAGTCTATCGGTCAGAATGTCGGACAGCTTGTCGGTTAGTCTGCCGGACATTTCTGTTGCTCAGTCTTTAGATCAATCTAACCTTCAGCATTTCGGTTAGTCTGTTAGTCAGTCTGTCTGTCCGTTTGTATGTCAGTGTGTCAGACATGCTGTCGATGAGTCTTTCCTTCATTGTTTCCATCAGTGTGACGGTGGTCTGTCGATCAGTCTTTTGATCCTTTCGGTCATTCTGACAGTACGTCAATCAGTCTTTCGGCTAAACTATCGCTTATTTCATTTTTCATTCAATCACTTTGTCATTTATTCCCATTTGCGAAAAATAAGTGTTCAAGTCGATTGCTACAGCAAATGCAACTTTACCTCATAGACAATCGCACAATTGGATGTGATATGATTAAAAGACTTGGTCTTTTTTGGAATTCACATCTGCCTTTTGGGGCAAGGGCAATTGTGGCACTGCGGCTTAGTGCGCAACCTGTCGAGATTGCACACTGCACTTTCACGGTTCGAGTCCCGCCGGGCTTTTGACTACAGTCCCCTTCGGTCGGGACACGAATACCCTTTTGGGGGGTGAGGCAAAGTTCAAGCAACTAGCAGCGTCAGCTGTGCTCCTTTGACTGTGGGAAAAAGCTGAAACGAAATAGCCTGAAACTATTTATTAATAAATGACAAAATGGAGAAAAGTTGGATTTCGAGGAGTCTCTTGTTGCACAATTGTTGAGCTTACTTCCATTTCGAGTGGAAGTGTTGGGTTAAAAGATTA